CGGGCGAACAACGCAGCATCTCATTAGGACGGCGTTAACAGAACAAGCTTCGTGTCTTCTCGGCAAGGAAGCGGCGGGTAATAAAATATCTCTCGACATTAATTGCGGCTCGAGCATTTGGCTGCTGATGTCCTCATGCCCATAATGAGAAAGTGATGAGTGATGATGATGGCGACGACGATGATGACGACGATATTAGTGATGGAGAGGGACAGCGGGTATGTTGATGTCTGTAGGGTGTGCACGGCTCCGATTGTGTTGATCAAATCTTCTTTTCATGTGGCAGCTGCCACGGTACTGTGAAGGTCAGCACGCCGGACGTGCAACCCCGAGGGTCGCCGGTTCAATTCGATCTCCCAGCGCGGCAGTTGAAACAATGGGAGCGAGTTTATTAAATCACCCCACCCCCACCACCGCCTCTTGGCCACCCAGCAGTGACCTGGGTTCACCCACAGTAAGTCAATCGGCAGATGCGTGTGGTGGGGTAGAGTGTGGGTACTCCCACCACTTCCAATATGTCTGGCCAGTATGTAAGAGTTGGTTCAAATACCCTCCAGAGGGAACTGTATAAAGCTTGTGCTAGTGAATGCCCTTCCACCAGCAGTGGTGTGAGTAAGCAGTTACAAGGCTGCGCCTTGAACTTTTTTTTTACCTTTCCTGTGGCATTATGGGATATGATTCCTTGACTCGAAAAGGGGAAAGCAGTTACGGTCTTGTGCTTAATGGAATCGCAACCCGCAACTCTCCACAACCTTTCCGTTCCAACATACCTCAAACCCGCACAACATTGGCTGCACATTGGGGTTACAGAGGGCGAGTCTGGTTTGAGTTTAGAGTGGGCGGAGGACTCCCCAGCTGTCTACGTAGGCGACATTCCCACAATTGGCATAACCCGCATTTTAATTCTCTTCACCCCCAGCCCTGCTTCTTTGGGCAAACTGCATCTATCACGGTGTCACTTTAATTCCGTTGCTTAGATAGATTTTTCCACTCTTCGGGTTATTTATAAACTGCATTTACCATTCAGCATCAGCAGCGCTCCCTCTGCACCCCCCCCTGCTGCCCATCCGCCACCAAAATCAAAATGAAGCTTCCCTGTAATCAAATCGCGGGGATGTATGCTTGAGAATGCAATTAGCGTTCTAAAAAATTAGATTACGGAACTTTCGATTGAGGCTATGCTGATTAAATAAATGACACGCTACCGGGCCGGCAATGTGATTAAACGCCCGTGATTATTGTGTGGCCTCATGGATCGAGCGAGGATTTCCCTTTTCATCGCCCACCCCCGCCGCGGTGCGTGGAGCCTGCGCGAAAAGGGGGCTTGTGTAGCGTGCCCGACCGCGCGGCCGCCTGTGAGCGATTACTCGCAGTGTGTCTTCCAAAAAAAAAAAAATGCAATTTCTCTCCGAGAACAACAGAAGGTCCCATCCATCACGCCAATAGGCATGCCGCTTTCTTCCTCAACCTGCTTGGCATTTCGGCTCCGCACCTTCGGGGTCAGTGACTGCGACCGTTTAGGAAAGGTGTTCTCAATCCATTTTTAGGTCGGCAGCGGATGGCGCAGCGGTTAGCACGCCGCGCTCTTGATTTGAGCGCCGGACTGAATTCGATTTCCGGCCGTTGGCTAACATTCAGCGGCGAGCGATTTTATGAACCAGTCTTGTTGGGCATACAGTCAGAAAGTAAACAATGCCATTAGCATATAGATTATTACGTTGTATATACAGTACGCATTAAGCGGGGACTAGTCGTGCGGTGGTTGGCGCAGTCCAACTATAAACGCGGCAAACTGAGTTCGGTTTCCATCAACGGCTGACATCAGTTGTGAGCCAAATCTGAATCGGTGCCGAGCCACCAACTTCGTCAACTTCCGCTGACCAGCGTGGTGCAGTACGGTCAAACGAATCCTGAAATTGCCATGACACGAGGAGGCCTTTGTCCTGTCGTCGATTGGCAAAGTGCCGTAAATTATGTTAGCCCAAACGCAGCTAATTGCTATTGCTCTGGCGGTGTATGCCCGTAAGGCAGAACGTTGGAGGGGGATCCTGGAGTGTGAGGCTTCCCAGCCATAGGAGAAAGCAGTGCGTCAAGTAGGCCGGTGGCCTCTGTGGATTTGCGAGTGCTGTTGTTGCCTGCACATGGGGATTTATTCGGTGCACTGCACTTTGTCTCCACCTCGGGCAAAAGGTGCTCGAAAATTAACGAAAACAAAAGGGATTCGTTGTTTTTGCCTGATTAAACATTTAATATAGCCGTATTTTTTTGCGTAGTCGAACAGCAGTTAGTTGTTAAGCACCATGCTCTTGTGCGTGGATGACCGATATGCGGTGGATTTTTCAACGTATATATCAGGTATCGAACGTACATACATACGTATCAAAGCAACAAAATCAACGCATTCGGCAATGACAGTGCCCTGAAATAGAACAACAAATGCCTACAAAGTTTTGGGATACTGGCCCTGCTTAATGGAAAGATGGGATAATGACGAACAGGGCCACTGCCTGGAACATCGCTTTCGACGTGGAATATTTTTTTATTGTGCTTGTGCACCGCTGCCAGCACGATATCACAGGAAAGATTGTGATTAATACAGCGCAGATACGCTGCACTGGCTTTGCAGGCCTGCCTTTTAGAAATCAATGGCTTGCCTTTTCACACCTTCAGAGACCCCCTTTCACCACTCGTCTCCAGAGAGCCGGCACCCCGACAGAATCGCGCGTGCGCGCGTTACGCAAGGCGGTCAGCATAAATCTCTAAGAGGCTTTCAGAACACTCTAGAACTTGTTGTTTTCCCCGTTACTAGTGACCATCTCCACTGAGCGTCACAAGTGGAATGTTTGTATGTATCTTGTATGTACGTTGCTTGGATGGATGGACGTTGAAATTATTTCCCGCTGTACATAGTCGACAGTGCTAATCGGAGGTTGCGGGGGAAGGACAATAAACTGAACACAAAAACGCAGTTGTAAAGAAATGGGTTTTCAATCTGGATGATTTAAAAGTGTAGAGCTCCAGTGGCTTCCTAATATTGGAAGGAAGAGCGTTCCAGACAGCCGTGGAAGCGCACCTGAAAGCGCGCGATGCGGTGATCGTCTTTGTTCGATGGCCAGCCAAAAGCCGCTGCTGCTGCGAGGATGACCGGAGTTTGTGTGATGGTTTCTTCTTCTCCTCGACGAGATCGACGAGTTATAAACGAGATCATCAAAGGTAGGCTCCACAGAAGCCGGGTTTCCTAACCAATCCTCGGTTTGCAAATTTCTAGAAAAATTATTCACAGCCCACTCAAGTTGATGCATATACATGTTGACGCTGGCACTACCGCTGTGAGTTTATCAGCGGCCGTGCCGTGCGGCTCAATGCGTGATCGCCGACGTTTCACTGCACGGCGCTGGGGAACCTTCTTTAGGAGCTGAAGTTCTTGGAATTCGGTTCCTTTGGCAATCGCTGAACGCCATAGGTGCCGAGATGAAATGGCGAGCGGGTCGACGAGGTGACGGCACGGCTGTTGGCGCCATTGGGTTGGGGGACCTTCTGTTGTTCTCGAAGGAAAAGCTACGTCTTTGGGAGACGTGCTTGTTTTCCGGAACTGAATTTCTTGACGTCGTTCTTTCTGAAGGAACTCCCTGCCAGGCACGCGGAGCGAAACGTCGGACGTCATGCCGCGCAACCCGAAAACACATCGGAGAGCTAAACCACCTTCGTAATTAACGCCAAGGAGCTGGGGGTTGGGGTGGGGGCGATGCTGGGAAAGCGATCACTGCAAATGCTGTGACAGTGATGGCTTGCCATGTCACGGTGCTACCCAAGTCGTGGTTATTATTATTTATTATTAAAGGAGATGTCACGCGGCGGCCTAGTCGGACACATTTCTGGACGGCCACGCTTATTATTGGCATGCCTGCGCCACAGCGAAAATGTGAATCAGCTGTCAGATGTTGTGGGAGGTGAAGGGGTGCGGGCGGGTGGTGGTGAAGTGTTGGTGGAGGGAGGGCTCTATTTTAAAAGATGTCCGTGGTTGACATCCCGGGAGACTCGCTTAGAGGGGGGGATGTGCTCTCCACTGATTGGATGAGCGTGCCCCATGGGGCCACACGTACCAGTGTAAGCGTGCGTCATAGGAAATCCCTTGCCGTGTGATGTCATAGGTGTGTGTTTCCATTGCACGCATGGGCACACGCGTGCAAGGTGCGGCGTTGCAGCGCGCACACGTACGCGCAACGCGTGTCGCGGATATCCTGCTACGAACATGCTGCGACTATGGGATTGTAACGCACGCGCACGCCAGTGGGTTTGACGTGTCTTTTGCAAGAGTGTGCCGCGACCGCGTCCTCGGCTCGGCTGAATATGAATGAATATTATGCATTTGTTTAAAATAAATCGATCATCTTGTTACCCAATGCCAACCCTGTTCCTGATTTTACACAAGAGAGCAGTGCTCCACGAAGGCCCCTTCGTATGCCATGTGGGTCACGGGGGTCGGTTGACCCTACTTCACCTCGCTAGTAGCATTGAACCCGGCCATATCTAACATTGGTTTGCGAATGATATTTGAACCGGTCACAGGCTCTCCCCCCTCAGGGAGTACCCGCCGCGGGTGTGCGAACATCGGCGGGTTGGGCAGGCAAAGGCGGCATCGTCGGTGACGGCCACAACACCCACCGTGCCCAGCCTGAGCACGTGCTCGCTCACAGCTCATTTCAACACGTCCACCTCTGTGACTCGTAGCCGATTGTTGGTGCCGGATTTCGTGAGCAGAAAATACGTGTCGGCGCGCTGAAGCGGTGATACGTTGGCACGTTCGTCCACGCGATAACGCCGTCGATTGGCTTTCGCCGGGGCGGCGGAGGGTTTAACGACACACATTTTCCGGACGTGACCTGAACCATAAATCAATTATGAATCGCTAATGGCACCGTGCCCCGTGTCCCCTCCCCCCTCTTACCACCGCGACGGTTTATTAATGTCTGTTTGTGTGTAACGGCTGCGTCGTACAGACAAGCAGCATGAGGTGGAACTTCCGGCGCCGACGACCAAAGAGAAGGAGAAGAAAAAGTCGCGACAGCCCATGTCGCACATCAGCGGAGTCCGCAAGCTCACGCACAGCTCGAGCCTCACGCACGCCTCCATCCCGCGCTTCGGCGTCAAGACCGACCAGGAGGACACTCTGGCCATGGTGAGCTTCCTGACCGCCTGTCCCGGTCACTCTTGTCCCCGTGTGCGAGTGTTCCCGGTCACACCTGTGTCTGCGTGCCTGTGTCCCAGTCGCTCTTGTGTCCGTGTGCCTGTCTCTCCCAGTCGCCGTTGTGTCTACGTGCCCATCTGTGCCAGTCGCTCTTGTGTAACGTTGGGGAGCTGGAGGGGACCGACCCTCCCCCCCCTCCCTGCTGAAGACTCAACCCCACTGCTAAAAGTCTAAAAGGCACCGCTCCCTTTATCGTACACACGGAGAGAGCGCATTGGCTGTGTGCACCCATCTATAGTTAAATTTTTTATGCCCCTTTAAACAAGGTCACGCTACAGGGTCGCGTATACACCCTGGGCACGTGCCCAGCGTGTCACGTCTCGCTTAATCGTATCTTGAAGTTGTTGCTGAACTGGAGTAGGTTTGCACGTGACTTGTTAGTCGCAGTCAGCGGCGAGAAATGTACTGGATGTGGTGTGCCGGGTACATCAACGTGTTCTGGGCAGACGATCCCAGGCCGAGGTTACGACAGTGTTTGTTCACTCGTTCCCGTACGTCCCGGTTGCTTTTGTGCGTGTGCGCATTTTTTGTCCCAGTTCTCGTGTATCGGTTGCCTCTCTGTCCTGTCCTGTCCCCCCCCGGTGGTGTGAACGCGGCTGTCCCCGCCTCGTTCTCGTATTGCACGCCACGTGTTTTTTCTCCCCCGTCTGCCAAACTCTGCGGGTCACTTTCTGCCTTTCCTTTTTATTGAAAAGCCGCAAATCCCAAATGAAGAAATAACCCCCCCCTCCCCCAAGAAAAACATTCGCCACGTTCGTCATTACAGCACTGCCTTTTCGTGACGGAAACAAATCTGTAATAAACTAAATGTTTTTTTTGGGCACTGGCCTCTTTTGCAGAAGGTTAGCCTATTATATATTGATGGTTTTTTTTCTTGACATCGGCAGGGCTAATGTCGAATGTGGCGAGTAATTTTATTTATTTATTATTTGTGTTTGTGCACTGCTGCCAACTCAATCCCTTAATACTTAGCAATACCTGCTTTACTGTTTTGTAAATACTCTCGTACGTCAGTAGCCACTTTTGTACGTCATTGCCCGTATGGAAAAAAAAAAAATCAACCTCATTTCTTCAAGCGAATTTCATTGTAATTGTGTTCTGTTCAAAATGGGAATTAATATATTTGCGTGTCATCATTATGAACATCATTTTAACTCCCATCAGGGCAACATGTTATTCTACCGAGATTGCCACAAACCAGATGTGCGTCTATATCTGAACTGGCCCTAGACCTCCGCCAGGTCAACTAGGCCTCTAAATGTGTAATCGAGCGCTGCGTGTAAACCTTTGGTACTGGAGAGACACAGGCGGCTGGCCACGCGACTCTTGTTTCGGCGTTGCACGCTAACGGGCACTTGCCTCGGCCGTGTGTGTTGCCTATACGGGGGATCTTTGCATTTGTCTTGGTTTGCGATGGCTGACGCGGCGCCCTCCGACCCCCCGTGTGCTTTGTGTTCGCCAGGAGCTGGACGATGTCAACAAGTGGGGGCTGAACATCTTCCACGTGGCCGAGTTTTCGCAAAACCGACCGCTCACCGTCGTCATGTACGCCATCTTCCAGGTACGCTCGCGGACTCTTCGGGCCATTATCATTGTCGTGCCAAGGTGTCAATGACACATGCTCAGGTTTAGGCCTCGCACTTTGGATGCACCGGCAGTGGCAGACTGAGACCCAGGCTCACTCTGGTAGTAAGTGGGTGCCCTGCCAGCGAACAGTTCCTCAGCGGTTATTGGTCAACTTACAGATGGGTTTCTCAAACGTTACCCTCCCCCCCCCCATTTCCTGATAAGTTCCACTCCCCTATACTTGTACGAAATCTATGAAACTATTGGATACTGGGTTGGCACTCTGTCTACTCTTGATGCGGTAGTGTGTGTTTATTGGGTGCGGCACGGCACACCCCCTAGTATGCCATGCCGTGCCAGGCTTTATAGGTGATCACTCACAGCACTTACCCAAACAGTCTGTTCAGGCTATACGGGGGATCTTTGTCTTTATTATCGGCACAATCAGCATTGGTGGCAACTTGTTTAAGGGAGAAAAGTGCTAACTCACACGTGGAGTTTTTGTTAAAGATATCTCCCTCATATTTGTGGGGTTTCTCTAGTCAGGAATATTCCAAACATCCAAAGCAAGATCCTTCTGAAAAAGGATCCTGCTTGGGGTGCCTTAAGCATCAGGTTGACGCTTTCCTGGATATTCAAAGCTCATTCGGTAACCAGGAGGCCAATTATCGAGTGGTCTCCATAAGAGTCCGGGCAACCGAGCGGAAGACCTAAGTGTTCAGATGTCGTGGTGCTGTCAGGGCAGACCGTGGAGGTCGCTGTGTGTCTACCGCGCAGCAGCTGCGGGATCTGGCAGTGGGAAGAACGCATTGGCAATGAGGTGGAGATTTAGAGTATTTTGGCTGCTGTAAATTTCAAGGTGATGAGCGACTTCGTTGAGCTATCATCCGTGATAGCCAGGTCGCTTCTGAAAAAGAGCTTTTGAAGCTCGGTGAGCCCTTAATAGGTAAAATAACAAAAATGTAAAATTTTGGTGGTGGCATCATCGGCTTTGGGCCATGATGACCTCTTGACCTCGATCTGTTATTGTAAAGTTTGTGTGAGATCAGCAAGGTATTTGTCGTTCGTTTGTGGCAAGCTTCATCGCAACAGAACCTTTGAAACTAAAAAAAGTTAACTTCAGTAATCGCTGGTCACTGATAAGTTATAGAATCATTCATGTGACACAGATTTCTTTACAACAGTGTGCAGTATTAAAAAAATCATCATCAGCACCAGCTGTGATCTATCAATTTCTGAATGAAAACCTGCCCAAGCCAAGGCCTGTTCCTAATGGGAATGCTTAATTAATGAATGAATGGTTTAATGAATTCATAAATGCATGAATGCATGAGTGCATCAATGGATGCATGAATAATTTAATGGTTGAATGCATAAAGAGGTGCATGGATCAATGCATTGATACACTAATTAATAAATGCATGGATGAATAAATGCGGGGATATGATGAATGATTGCATAAATTAATGCATTAATGAACGAGTGAATGCTTGCTTGAATGATTGAACGAACGCACGCGCTCAAATGTTTCCAGTGTCTCTCTGCCGTTTAAAATCTTTGGGGGGAGTGGCCAAACAACCGACACCCACGAAGGCCAAAAGTGGCTGCGACAACAACGGAGCATCACAGCCCCCCCCCTCCCCTCCCCACTCCGCCCACCACCCCAAACACCGACACGTGGGAGCACTCACATCCTGCTTTGACCCCGGGCAGGAGCGGGATCTGCTGAAGACGTTCCGCATCCCCGTGGACACGTTCATCACGTACATGATGACGCTGGAGGACCACTACCACGCGGACGTCGCCTACCACAACAACCTGCACGCCGCTGACGTGGCGCAGTCCACGCACGTGCTGCTCTCCACGCCCGCGCTCGACGTGAGGGGCCGCTCCTTACGCGCGACGTCACCTCGCGGTTTGCTTTTGTCGCGTGTCGCGATGACGGCGTTCTGCCATTTCGCCGTTTCTGAAAGACGCGGGGGGCGTGGAAACCGCGTGCCGTGTTATCGGGGGACGTGAAAGCGGCGCCGGCGGGTTAGGAGGCGTTTTGCACCGCCCGTCGTAGCAGCAGAGGCTCGCGGTTCGTGTCCGGCAGGCTGCCCTGGTTATCCGCCGCGGGCACGTTAGCGGTAAAATAAAACGTGGCGCCGTCTGCGTCGCAGTGGACGTGAAAAGATCCCCGTGAGACGTCACTGGAGAAGGGGCGAGGCCGTCCTGTGCCGGGGGCGTCGTGGTACCATTTGTTTTCCGCTTTTGAAAAAATAACGCCGCAAATTACTTTATTGGGATTACAAATGGCAGACATCTCCCCCCCCACCCCCCCCGCCTACTTTGAAACTGCTGCAGACTGTCTGTGAAATATAGCACTATAAGAATGGCACGATTACCAAATGTGCTAAATTATTATTAGCACAGACTACGGCTAAAGTCATTTTGAAACTGCTCTTTATGTAACACGCGGTGCACTATTTCGCGGTGCCCTGTTCCATATTGAGCCGAGCAATTAGTCAAAGTCTGTTACATGTGCTACAAACGGCATATTGCCACCGTCCGACCATCTTGACGCAATTATAATTTGCTTTCATGTAGCATCTTAATCTTGTGAGCATCTCTAGACGCTGTAAAGAGGCAACTCATTGACATCAATTAACACGGAGCAAGCATCCAACAGCAACGAATCTCATAGCCACGGTGACCAATCACACTTTACTGTAAAACATAACGTTGAACCGGGGAGTTTACATGGGATAATAAGCGATCTGAGCACGGAGCGGGCTTTTTTTTTTGGCGCACCGCTAACGGTCGTCTCGCCCTCCCCGCAGGCCGTGTTCACCGACCTCGAGATCCTGGCGGCCATCTTCGCGAGCGCCATTCACGACGTCGATCACCCCGGAGTGTCCAACCAGTTCCTCATCAACACCAGTAAGTTGTCCCCGCGTCGTATTGCCCGAACGGGCTGTTGGGGCAAGTGTTGTTAGCGAGCACCTGTGAAGGCCGGCAAGGCACACGAGGTGGTGGGTGGCCAGCAACCATGCCCGGCTGCACTGGTCTCCCTCGTGACAATGTTTACACACCACACCAGGTACTCATTTGAGGCTGAGTCGACCTAGGGAAAGGACAGATAATCATCACTACCACTTCCCCCTCGCACCATACCCGTCTTCACGAACAATGCATTAAGCCTATGTATAGACTATATATATATGGGGCGCCACGGTTGTAAGATGTTAACTACCTCGCCTGGTATACAGGAGAATCGTGGGTTCGAGTCTGAGATTTTTCTCTGGCTCCTCCGGTTTTTCCTTCCACATTTAAAAACATCCGGTTTCACGGTATTTGGCTGCTATAAATTTCCACGCAATGAGCCACTTCATTGAGCTATCATTTGTGATAGACAGGGCGCTTCTGGAAGCGAGCTATTTAGCTCAGTGGGACTCTTTTGGTAAAATGAAAATAGTTGAAAATCCGTTTTTTATTCATGGAATCAAGAGGTGAGGGTTTGTTATGTCTTTTTTTAGCACTTTCTAATTTTAGCGCTGGTCAATCTGTGTGTCGGTGTGATGCAGCGCAGCTATCACGGACACCCTTGAACAACCTAAAAATAGGTGGCTTCAGATCAATGGATGTCACATGCATTAGCTTGAATCGGGGTGCCTGCCCGTGTGAGTGCCCGGTGTTGGGGAACACACGTAGCCTTGACTCTCCATCCGAACTGGGATATTTCTAATTCACAGAGACATTTTTCTCGTGAACCGTTTGTTTTAGAATTTGATGCCGAGTCATATGTACCGCTGGACTTGTTTCTGCAGTCACAATCTGTTAACACGTAGCAAGAAAGTTTTGCGAGCCTTTTGACTATTCTTTAAACTAAGCACAAGCACGGGTCGTTGAAGTGGAACGATGGTGCAGTGGTCAACGCTGTGATCCTTGTGACCCGAGTTCCTTTTCCCGGAGATGGCTAACGTGTCACGGACGAGTAGACGTCTCAACCGGTCCTGTGCTTCACCAACCCACATTGGCGAGCGTAGCGAAGTATGGTCCAACGACTACTGTCTGTGATCAACTTGGCATGAGGAGTCCCTTTGTCCAGCAGTGAATAATTACCCAAGGGATTGAAATTATTTTTTATTATTTATTATTATTCGAGCAACTTAAGAAGTGTTTGCCTCTTGAAACAAAAAAAAACATTAGCACGAATGCACTTTTCACGAGAAAGTGGAAAAGTAAAAGAATCTTGAAACGGGAACACTTGCGTTCGACAAAATGAAAAGTTCCATAATGGATGGGGAGGTAGAAGGGAAACGCAGTATTGACGGCATGCTTTAAAATAGGTCGTCTGCTATTGAACCGTCTGGCAAGATAGCAGACAGTAAATAGACACGGCTTCGGAGTCGTGCAATTATAGTCGGCAGGTGCCCCGATCTGTCTGCAAAATCATTATTCCATTTTTGTAATCGTCGTGAATTAAAAAAAATTCGTCACTCGATTCTCACCGGAAAAACAATTAATTATCTGCAACATTTTATTCAACACATGAGAGCGTTAACTAGTTAAGTTATCAACTTGCGCGTTGAATAAATAAATCTGGCCGCATTCCGTTGTCCCTACACAACAACTCGGCAAGTCCTGGGCTAGAGCTACAGGAGACCAAATAAATCCTCGTGGGCTAAATGCAGTCCGGCTTTTTTGTGTTCACTCTCTGAGTGTTGGGACTCCTCTGTTCACTGGTGAAATTGTAAAACGAACGAAACGCAACATCCGTCGATTGATCGGAGAGAAAAGCCGTGCTGCATCGGTACCTGAAAGACGAATCATTGCCCTTCCTCAGTCTAAACGGGCAGACCCTTGATCATCGTTCCTTTCTCAACGCGCACCTTTGCTCCGTGATCCAGCACGTGGCATTTTGCAAAAGTGATAACTCCGCAAATTAAGTTTGTTTATTTTGTTTGCTTTGTTGGTTGTTTTTTTGTGAGTTACGGAACATTGCCTTCCTTATATGTCTGTCCCATGTGCTTATTTGGACTCGGTAAAAACAGAGCAGTTCACCGTACAACGGCCTGTTACGCGGGACTTTTCTATGTTCAGCTCTTACAAGCTTCACGGTGTGAGATGAAGTCGGCATGTAAAACGTGCTTCTGAAAGCGGTGCAACAATCCGCCGCTTGCGTCGCCGCACGGCCAATGTTACCCTTCACGTTCCCGATCTACGTTCTCGTGTTTCCGGTAAAATTTCTTGGCGGAGTTTGGGCCGAAAGTGTCGGCCTCCGCTGACAGTGTGGCACGCCGCAATATGGCCTGTTGCACGCACGCGCATACGACGTCACTGGTTATGTCCAGTGACGTGCATCCACGCGCATGTGTGCGTGCAGATGAAGCGAGTGCAGTCTGGGGGAGCGGTAGCACGGTGGTTCGTGCCCTGCGCTACGGACCCGGCGCCCCGAGTTCGCTCACGGCCACAAACACCAGGGACGATTGTCTGAACTGATCCTAGGCCTCCCTCGAGATCGACTCAACCTCAAATGAGAACCTGTCGCAGCATGTAATTGCATCGAGAGACAAAGGCGGCCAGGCGCTCGCTAAAAGCACTTGTCCCCACTCCACCTGTTCAAGGCTAAACGGGGGCTATCTCCATCCGTGCGCGTGTGTGCGCGCAGATTCGGAGCTGGCGCTGATGTACAACGACGAGTCGGTGCTGGAGAACCACCACCTGGCCGTGGGCTTCAAGCTGCTGCAGGAGGAGAACTGCGACATCTTCCAGAACCTGAGCAAGAAGCAGCGGCAGACCCTGCGCAAGATGGTCATCGACATGGTGGGTGTCGCCTCGTGTGGCCTCCGTGCCGAGGAAGATTTCGGTCGAATGAAAATCGAGCGATCGGTCCGTTTCGAGGCGCAGGGGGCTGTCGCGAAGGTGTGTTGTGCCGTACTCGGGAGGTGGGGCGGGCCGATGTTTCTTCAACCAATTAGGTCACAGGCTGGTTGGTAATACTCTCAACAATGGCATACTCGATAATACAGGCGGTTTCCAGTTTACGACGGTTCCGATCTATGACGATCCACATTTACATAATGTCGCCATGGAACGATTTTAACGAAGCGTCTTCCGACATGACTCCGAACACATTTTAACAGTCAGTCTGGTTCCCGATGTGACTTGGCGTGGAGCTTTTGTGATTCTCAAGTGTTTTTTTGTGGATTTTTTACGACTAAACCGAGTTAAACATTCGCTCATAATGTTTCTACTGTTTGATATTACGACGATCCGACTTACGACGGATTTCCGGGAATGCCACCGTGGTGGCCACGGTAAGATGTTAACTACCTCGCCAGGTATACAGGGGGGCGTAGGTTCAATCCCGACCCTGACGCCTGCTGCTGTATATTTGGAGTTTGCATGGTCGCGTGGATTTTTCTCCGGTTCCTCCGGTTTTTTACCTCCACATTTATAATCAACGTGTTTAAAGTATTTGGCTGCTAGAAATTTCCACGTGATAAGCCACGTCGTTGAGCTATCATTTTTGGCCAGGTCGCTTCTGAAAAAGCGCTATATAGCTCAGTGGACTGTATCTGGTAAAATAAAAATAGTTTATATTCTTGGTTCTTTCGGTAAAGTCACGTAGAAGGGAAACAATAAAATAAAAAAAAACATATAAAACAATACAGTTCTCACGACGTTTCGACTGCAACACAAGCAATCATCATCAGGTGTGAAAACCACAGCAAGAAAATTTGTGACTTGGCGTGCTGTGGTTTTTCACACCTGATGATGATTGCTTGTGTTGCACTCGAAACGTCGTGAGAATTGTATTGTTTTATATTTTTATTATTTAATTGTTTCCCTTCTACGTGACTTTACCGAAAGAACCAAGATTATGAATCCCTGCAGTGACGAAAGCTTTAAATAAAAAAATATTTTAGTTTAGTTTGAGATCAGGTACTCTTCCGTCAAGCAGGTCGAAAGCCCACCACTCAGGTCCGTTATATCTCTCATGCATCAATTACCAGCCGTTAAAACACGGTTGGAAACTAGTGTCTGGATGTTTTCCGGGCTTTCCCTTTTCACAAACTCAGTTGAAATCGTGAGTAAGCCCTTGTGCAGTGGTAAACGGCCAGCGGTGACTGGGAACGCAGAGGTGTTGGTCAAACCAACGCCCAGTGTGAAAGGCCAGCCTTAATAGGTGCTCGCTAACAGTGCTGGGTCTGTTAGGGTAAACAGAGGCATCTCTATTTACATTTTACACACGGTCACAGAAACTGCCTTCCCCAAAGCCCCCCTAACACACGCCCATTCTTTGAAGCACACGCACGTGCACACACACACACACATGCACGCGAGCGTAAACGTACACGCGCTGTATAAACGCGCGTGCAGCGCTATTGTTCAGGGCAGATATGATGGCTATTGTTGTTGCCGAGATGTGTAGGAGATTGCACTCGGCCTCTCCAGCCTGTTTATTTGTTCTTTGCCCCAGATATAAAAAAAAAAGTTCAACTATCGCCGCCCGTCGCAACACCTGACAATGTGGGCTTTGTTTCCCGACCGGTGAACTTGGCGCGCGACCATTTGGCGGCCGTGAGCCTTTTCGTCCGTAATGTTCACTCGGAGGCTGCCGACTTGCTCTCCAGTAGCACCACTCACCAAGCCGTGTGCAACCATTAAATCCATCCATTCATTCTCACATCCATCCATACATCCATTAAGCACGTGGCATTCTCTTTCCATTAATCCATTCTCCATCAATGTGCTTACCCAATCGCTCGCTTATTCGCTCAATTATTTAGCTTTGTGTCCAGGTCAAACCCCGACGGGCCTGTTTTACATTATATTGCGGTCACAAGTTGAGGCTTGACACTTATAATGAGGGGCAGTATTGGTTAAAATTTGACACGGTGGTTTTATTACGTGTGCCCACGTGGTGTGGTGTAGAGATCACAGTGGTTCGCGCATTTCATTATAAACCCGGAAAATCTGAGTTTTATTCCTGGACATGGCTAACATCGGTGGCGAATTATGTCAGAACCGGTCCTGGCACCCCCCTCTCGCGCCTTACCCGCCTGCACTGACCACCGTGGTGAAGTATGGTCAAACAACCCTCATGACAGACGCAGCATGGAAAGGCCATCGTCTAGCAGTGGATTAACATAGCGCTGAACGTTATTATTATACTCATTAAAATATTTACAAGACCCATATAAATTACACATCTCTATCGGTGTTCATACGCACTAAGGTTTAAACAAACATGAATAATACATAACATGTGTGTCCTCATGTGCAGGTTCTGGCCACAGACATGTCCAAGCACATGAACCTTCTGGCTGACCTCAAGACGATGGTGGAGACCAAGAAGGTGACGTCCTCAGGTGTTCTCCTGCTGGACAACTACACCGACAGGATACAGGTGAGGACTGAGCACCCACTGAGAGCCGTGTACGATAGAGGAGGGCCGCTGAAGTTTGCTTTCCCCGCCTCCAGAATTTCTCGATCGAACATTGTTGTCCGATTCGTGATGCATTCGCGTGATATGAATCGTGTGTATTTTTATTAGTTGCCTTCGTCATGGGATCCGTGCTTCATAGGGATCTGTTTTACGGCAATTAAAATCAAATGCATTTGACACATCCTTGTCCGTATGTACGTTGAACTTCTTTTGCACCATATGTAGCCAACCGTGCTAATCGGAGGTGCGGGAAATATGTTTACATATTGGTCCAACTCGTCACCCAATGTCTGATTGATATTCCTGAAACTTAATCTGTAATTGTGCTGTATGATCGGTCTAAAGATAATCTCCCCGAGCCGACGTACGCTGTATAGCCATGTATTTAACATTCATATCCTGGCCTCTTGAGTTCTCCCCTGGATTAAACAAATAACTTTGAATCTTGAAAGTTTGTGCAGCATCTATTTTCGCTATCGGATGCCCGGAGATAGAGAGAGTTGGGGGGTGCGGGCGGCGGCAAACTGGGCGAGTCGCCACGTGGCTCATGGGAACATCGTCGTGGTCCTGGTAGTGTAGCGGTTAGCGTGCCGACACGAGTTTTGAGTCCCGCTCACGGCCAATACCAGGTGGCGTTTATCTGAGCCAGTCTTGGGCCTCCCCTAGGTCAACTCGGCCTCAAACCAGTACCTGGTGCAGTGTGCAAACATCGGCATTAGCGAGACAAAGGCGGCCGGGCATGGTATTCGCCACCCACCCCCTTGTGTGCTGTGCCGGCCTTCATACGTGCCGGCTAACAGTACCTGCCCCAACAGTCTGTTAAAGCTATACGGGGGATCTTTGTCTTTGGCGGCGGCGGCATCGCAGGTCCTGCAGAACATGGTGCACTGCGCCGACCTGAGCAACCCCACCAAGCCGCTGGACGTCTACCGCCAGTGGACGGAGCGCATCATGGAGGAGTTCTTCCGGCAGGGCGACCGGGAACGCGAGCGCGGCATGGAGATCAGCCCCATGTGCGACAAGCACAGCGCCTCCGTCGAAAAGTCACAGGTGACAACCCGAGCGCCCCCGCGGTGGTGGTGGTGGTGGTGGTGCGCGCGGGGTCCGAGCGCAGCTCCAACGATCACAGTTGGTACAAGCGTGCCATGAAGAAGGGCCAGTGGCCCTGATGTCGCCTATTACTGTGGTGTTATTTATGAATGTGTCGAGTGGGTTTTTTTGTGAATTTTAATAACTCTGCGTCGCCTGGCCGGATAGTGCTAATCAGAGGTGTGGTGGAAGGACAACGAACTAAACACAGAAAGTAACAAGTTGGGGAAAATATAAAATAGGATAAATGCTATTGATTTCTCACTCCACTGCTGGTGGTGGTAGGGCCTCCACGAGAGGGAGGTTTAGAAAACGCTTTTACAAGTGTAACTTGGCCTACTCTTCCACGTCTTGGAAGAGGTGGGAGTACCCACACTTTACCACCGCCACAAGCGACCTGCCGATCGACCAACTTAACTTGGGCGAACCAATTTAGACTGCTGGGTGGACAGAGGGCGCTGGGGGGGGGGGGGGGGGTGATTCCGGGGGGATGGGTGTTTAGAAACTTTCCCCCATTGTTTCAACTGCTGTGCCTGAAGATCTAATCGAACCAGCGACGTCTGGCTTTTGCAGGTCCAGTGTTCTGCCAATCATTACGCCGGAGGCAGTATGCGCTCGATGTGAAACGTGCAATGCTGCACCTTTGTGTTGAACAAGTGCCGTCTGTTCCAGGGGAGGAGAGATGTGTGTGAACTCTGTGTTGCCGCAACCTTGCATTACCTTCAGTGCGGGACAGCAATTTAAAAGAAATCGCCCCACGTGGCGGCGTGCAGTTGACGTGTTAAAATTACACGCGTCTCGTGTTCCTTCGGTGGCTGTCTTAGATGTGTTGAGGGAGCACATGTTGTGGGGTATGCAAATTAGCGGGCCAATTTACATTTACAAATCATGAGCCTCGGGTACATTATGTGTTTCGCCGTTCATTTGTCTTCAATCAGTTCGAGAACGTTTTGCATTCGTTTACCACAATCAAGCCCGCGCGCGTTACGGTTCCAATTAACGATCGACGGTCGTTGGATCTGCGTCCGTCGCCAGCGCAGTGGATCTCGCCGAATGTTACAATCCCCGGCCGGGCGTTGCTCGTGCGTGTGCGGCGTGCGCTCGTCTCCCGTCGGAAGTTGTCGTTCATCGGGCGGCTTTGTGAACGCTTGGAGCGAACACTTGGGAAAGATTTTCGATTTAAAGCTTTCGTGACTGCAAGCATTCATCTTCTTTGGTTCTCTCGGTAAAGTCGCGCGTTATTTTATTCTCAGTCTACGTGACTTTACCGAAAGAACGAAAGAAGACTTTGGAAAGAGTGGAGGATTTTTCCCGAAACGTCGCTTATTTTATACTTTCTTCATTTTAAGGCCCACACAAGTAGTGTTATTGACGAATGTGCCGAGTGTTTTTTGTTGTTAGCTGGACTTGTGCACCACGGCCAACACAGCAGCAGCATCACCAACTTTGAAAGAGTAGATTATTTTGATTACGATGATTTGTGAATATGATTGTGGTAATAATAATATTCTTGTTGCTTCAATTGCTTCGAATGATGATGATGACGAGTCTAACAAAGATGGCAATTATTTATTTAACATGATCATGGTGATCATCCTGATACTGTTACAGATTGTCTTGATGATGATGACACTTATGATGATATTGGTGCTTGAGTTATGACGGTGGGTGACGCTGATGATGACGATAATGTTGATGGGTGATGATATCATTGACAAGGATTCTTTTGCGGCTGTTACAGCATCTTTTGATGACCATGATAATGATGGTGACGATGACAGCGCTTGATTGATAACAATGATAATAATAATAATTACATTTCGACTTAAAACTTTCGTGACTGCAGGAATTCATATTCTTGGTTCTTTCGGTAAAGTCACGTAAATAGAAAACAATAAAATCTAAAATGAAAATAAAATAAAAATAATAAAATATTATTCGAACTGACGATAATGATGGTGACAGGACTACTTTATTGTAGAAGATGGCCGATGGTGGTGATGACAATGATGGCGATGGTCTCACAGTGCCCGTCTATCTCTTCTGCCCCGCGCTCAGGTCGGCTTCATCGACTACATTGTGCACCCGCTGTGGGAGACGTGGGGCGACCTCGTGCACCCGGACGCCCAGGACATCCTCGACACGCTGGAGGACAACCGCGACTGGTACCAGAGCATGATCTCCGACACGCCCTCCCCACCGCCGACCCACAAGTCCCCCATGATGCCCGGGTCGGGCGATGGCGGCGGCGGTGGGGGCGGCGGTGGACCCGGCAGTGGCGGAGGTGGCGGTGGCCACTCCCTCGAGCCTGGGACCAACTCCTCGGCCGCGGTGGCGTCGACGGCGGGCACCGCCTCGCCGTCCGTCATCAGCATGCTGTCCACGCCGACGGCGACGACCGACCGCTTCCAGTTCGAGCTCACGTTGGAGGAGGAGGAGGATGGCCACGTCGGGGAGGACGAGGAGGCGGAAGACGAGGAGGAGGACGACGAGGACATTGACTCGGACGGGACGGAGCGTGGCAGCAGCTACGGCGGCGGCGGCGGCGGCGGCGGCGGCCGGAGGGCGACACGCGCCGCCGTGTGCGGGAGGAAGTCCATCGCGATGGCCAGCGGACCGTGCGGGAGGTCGGCGAGCGTCTCCGACTCGGCGCAGTCGGACACGACGCTGTCTTGCGACAGCTCTCCCGACACGTAGTAGCGGCCGCGGGGCCCCCCCCCCCCCCCCACTCCCGACGACTTGCACCCCCGAATCCCCCGCCCCGACAAGCGTCGAAAACCAAACGACGAGAACCCACTGACGTTGTCGTCGTTGCTGTGGCCGCCGCCGCCGCCGTTGGGCCGCCGTTGGGCCGCCGTTGGGCCGACGCGATCGCCGTGGCTTCTGGGGTCGCCTCGCCCGCCCGCCTTGGCACGAGGGGAGGAGCTGCGGGGGTCCCTTCTCGTTGTTCTGTCGCGGCCCGACCATCGTCCCGATGGTCGCGCGACGTGGCCAGGGGTGAAATTGAAGGCCCTCTTTTGTGAACGCTCGCCCTGGCACGGTTGGCTTGTGACCACGTCGGATGACAAGAGCGGGAAGATGAGGAGGAAGTGAAGGAGAGAGCGAAGAGATGTTTTGTACAGTTTACCCATGCCCTCTGTATAAACTCCACCGATGACACATCGACTTCCTTGGTTTCTTTTGAAACTGGACGTTACACTTTTTACCTTTTAAGTTCACGGTAGCTGTGAGCATGCTACCACGTTTGCAATAACTTAAGACACACACGTATTCTTTATTTTTAGCTTTTGCTGTCGATCTCTCATGCCGAGGTCACCGAAGTGAGATCTTTAGATTATCTTCTGTTCTCCCACAAGTGACTGAGTGTACGTTGTGTCCCTCGCGACAACGCAAGACGTTTTTGTGTGTTCACAAAACAAACGTGTATGGTATGTTGTACTACCACGGCCCTCCAGACAGCAGAACGATGGCAAAGTATTACGTCCACCAAGTATTGAGAAAAATCTGCCTGCTCTTTCCGACTGGTCATGGCTCGCTTGATATCGCATTACTTAAGTTCCATCGTTCCTTACCCCCCCCCCCATCCGCCTCATGTATAATGCAAAGAGAAATGACCTAAGTACCAAAACGGATTGCATTTTTTTTGCTGTTGTACTAATCTGAATGAGTTGATCTGTCTTCCATCTATCTAATCCTGGCAACATGTCGATTCAAATCTACATGATTAAATTCACTATGACAAGTGCGCGCGCTATTACCGATATGTCTGTTTTCGTAAGGGTTACACAGGACTCGCACGCGCACAACACACACGTGGACGATGCCATCGGAATAGGCTGTGTACATTGGGTAAAGTGTGCGCGCGCGCGCGATCCAAAGTCGCGCACGCACACAGAAACAGGTTTATCTCCCAAAGTGGGTTGTGAGCGAAAGGGGGCGCTTGGTACAGGATGAATTGTGAAGTGGGCAGGGAGAGGAAACGGAGCGATCGGCAAAGTTTAGACAGCGTTCGGTTGACGTTTGCCTTGTTGACGAACTGTTTTGGTGCGTCTCGTCCAGTAGATTATTGAATTGAGGTGATGGATGGTGGGGCAGTGGGACGTCTTGAGTGCACTTTAATTCTCAGTGGTTCTGAAAAAGAAATATCAACCAAACCGACGCGGACAGATGAATACTAGTCAGTATCGAGTTCGTATTATTTGTTTCTTAAAAATATCTAACGATCATAAGTACAAAGGAAATACATCGACCAATGTGAAAATTCAAATACATTTCCTGTGCATCGTTTAGAAGGAAGTTTAAAAAAGAAAGTAGTAAACCACAAGATGTTTCCTATTTAGATGCCAAACTTCGACAGTTTCACACCTCATTTTTTTTGTAAAGAAGTTACGGCTGTGTTTTCATGTTTACACTTCAAACGGAGTTTCGGGGAGGCCTATTTTTTTTTGCCTATAACACAAACCGTCGCAAACATTGTGCCTAATGTAATAAACCTGTCCAATTATAGGGTAACAGACACGTCTCGCACTCTCACGGTGAGAGGAAAACGCACGAAAAGAGCCCTGTGTGCTCGTATCGCAGCGCTCGCTGCCCCGGGGCATAGCTCCGTACGGGTCGGCACGAACGCAGAACGCGCGCGGGGGTGGGTGGTGGTGGTGCACGACGTGGCACAACTCACGGGAGCGAGCCGTATGGGGGTTCTCGAAACGTCGTCGAAATTGCGGTTATTCGTGAACGGGAAAGAGTTTTTTTTTCTTCCTGTTTGTTTGCGTGATCCTGTGAATATACAGTATATCACTATATATACATAACGTGTGCATGTAGACCGTGACACCAGCAGGTCGAACATCTGGGGAATTTCGTGTTCACATGACGGCGGCTCGGCTGGGTGGCCTTTTGGGTTTGGTTTGGTTGACCAAACGCGACGGGCCCTCTGCGCGCTGCGTTTTCCACGTCGCGATTCTGCCGGCGTGGGCAGAGGTCAGAGCGTTATCGTCCGGTGGCCGAAGTCCCCCCCTCCCCGCCACGTGAAACCAGTCTGGGGGAATACGTCCGCCTGTCGCATCCTTTATTCTCACTTGGCAAATCGAGTACCATTTTTTTGTTTATTTTAATTTGTTTGTACAGATGGTCCCGTTTTTTTTATCCAGTCCGCTTATTTGCAAGGAAGATCGGTGCTGCAACATCACCCACCCAGGGGTGTTACGTTACAGCGAGAACTCCTCTTATCCGGCGATTATTGGTGAGAGGGGGTGGGGGGGGGAGTGACGAACGACACGGGGATCCTATTATCCGCGATGCTATCTCCAAATTTACTGAGGGTAATGTACGGAAAAATATATATTGTTTGCCAATAGGACACATTGTCCCACAGGGGTGCAAGATGGGGAAAAGCCACGGATGATAACGTACAGCTCTGGTGGATAACGAGAGCGGGCGGATAATAGGGTCAACGGATAAGAGCAGTTTCGCTGGAAACGGTTTGTGCGGCGAGGCAAATTCAAAAAAAGGGCAGGGCAGAAAAATCACCGCGCTGGGTATTTCTTGTTCGTGCGCAGCGAATATTTGATGGCACCTCTCCCTGAAACCCTTCCAGGCCCTGCAGACAACAACAACAACAAAAACCCCACACGCAGGCTCTCACAGGCGCCACCACTCGGCCCTTACACGCACACCGAATCCTCCTCGCAAGGATCGTTCGGCGGCTGCTGCCAGTTAGCAGCGGTGCAAAAGCCCCAATAGCAGCAACGACGCCGACAAAGCACTCCGACGCGTTCGTCACTAACACCGTGGCCTCGTATTTTACGCGGTGCCCTTCTTCGCGAGCGCATAAAAGCGTTCGCTGGGCACTGGAGAAGGGCCGTCGCCCCCTATACGTCGCGGTGTCATCGTATATAGTGTTCCCTTGTAAGGCCCCCCCCCCAACGTGTTATTGACGAACGTGTCGAGTCGCTCGTACGAAGCTGCCCTCGTCGGCACGGCCCCCCCTCCAAAACTCCATGGCAACCCGCGGGGTAGTGGTGCGGGAGGATGATGCTGGAGGGTGATTAGTATTCAGTGGGTGCAGCCAGAGGGCTGGGAGAGACGTGCGAAGGCAACGGAGACACGAGCAGAATTCGCGCGCCGCTTTTTTTTTGTTATCGTCGATCCTCGACACGGCGCGTCGATGTGGGGTTTTTTTTCGAGAGAGAGAGCGAGAAGGGAAAACAATCCCATTAATACTATTGGAGTGTGGCTCGCGTTAACCAGTGTTAATTTGATTTTGGGTTTTTTTTGTTTACGATATTTCACGACGAAATGATTCGTCGGCGAAGTGTGGGTTGGTTTTATTTTATTTTTTCGGGTCAACGATGACTGCGGGGGGCTGTGTGACCGGGCGAGTCGACTGGGGGCCCTCCACCAGAGGCCGACCCGCGACGAGACCAATTTAACGAAGGGGGGCAGACGATGATAATTTAGAGACGTCGTTACAGATCGCAGTGCACCGTGTGGGGGGGGGGGGGGGAGGCCACGCATGGCAATCGGCCATGCAGTGTATGTACAATCTATAAACAGATTGACTGAGTTCACGGATTCGCTGACCAGGGAGGAGGGGGGGCGGCTGCGACTCTTACATTGACGTGTAACATCTGAAAATGTGTGACTTAACGTTGAACTGCTGTAGTCGACTAAGCTGTAAAGGGCGACTTAAATTCTGCAGGGTTGTCATCTTGATCAAGGCTACGACGGGACGAGTGAAACGCAGACTAAATTAACACTGGTTACAGCCCAGTGGGCGACGTGACAGACACGTGGCTAGACATTGTTCTCAAGAGGAAGGAAACCGTGCTCCAAGTGTCGTAGTCCAAATACAAATTAAGATCAATGCCCGCAATTAATTGCTTCTCAGTAATAACAATAATTGCCTTGACACGATTTCCCAATTCAAATAATTCGCTTCCCAAGCTGAATTTCCATTGTGTGGGCTTTCATCTGTTTAAATAGAGGTCGCTGAAATAGAACCATTGTTATTACCGCGGCAATAGCAGCATCGTAGTCGATGTGGGACACTGATGCGTCGCACCTTGCGTCGAATAATTCGCTCACGACACGAAAACCGCACAATGTTTACTTACAAAATGAATACGATCAGAGGCCCCGTAGCCAACGTTGTCCCACACCTGGAGAGGGAGTGTCACGAGCCAATGGAAGCGTATGAAGAAGAACGCCCCCCCTCCTCTCTCCGTGTTTTTTTTGTGCAGACTCAAGTTTTGCATGCGATTGTCACAGCGATGATGCACCCTGACCCCCCCGGGGGGTCCTGGTATTACTCTCGGTCACGGCCCCAGTGTGAACTTGGGAAATCCCCAGATTGGTGTTTGCTCAAAATGAGTGTGCCGTCACAAAATATAATATTTTAAAAAAAACGTGCATTATATGGTTTTACATTGGTGTCAAAGAATATTCTCGCCATATATGCGTGTTCGTGTATATATACACTATGTATTTGCACTGTACATTTGTATATATATAGACATACATATATCTATACATATTTAAATAAGGGTAACCTCTTTTGTTGGTTGCACGATTATTATATCGTGACGCTCACCTTGATCAAATTAAATTTGATACCGTGTGGATTTTGACTTTTGTTTTTTTTTAATTAAAATGCTGGCACTTTTGTAAAAACATACACTGTGCATCCGTGGGTTTCAGTTGTCACTTCGCTCAAGACAGTACGTGAAGGTAACGACACACAAACTTAAAGCCAGCAATCTTTAATCCAAGTGCGTGCCATACATTTTCTTACCAAAATGAGCCGACGTACGATGCTCACGTCTAATTTCACTTTTTAACCTTTTAGTTCTCTTAAGAAGTCTGTCGTTTTCATTTTGTCTTTTCTTTTCACCTGTTTACAACTTTGTATTTATTGTACACATTTTATAACGCGGATTGTAAATACTGTAACTTCACCCGACTTCACCCCCACGCCCAATCACCCACCCCCCCTCTACCCCCATGCCACAACGTTGCTTTCAAACAAAAGATCGACTGCATCGGCTCAGTCTGGCACACACCAATCGGCAACCGTGATTGCTCACGAACGGCGGTCAACAACAGTTGCGTGGGAGCTTTCTTGCTCCTGCCCCCGACGTCGAAAGTGCACAAACATTTCGTAGGGGTGGGGAAGGAAGTAGGCGAGGAGGTTTGAACGCTCGGAAACGTGAATATCTGCAGAATGACCGACCAGTCGACTCCAACCGCGCGCGAGTGGGTCTTTCTGGACTAGAATAAAGCGTTGCATTTGCTTTAAACAAAGCGGGGGGACAAGGGGTGGTTGCGGGGAAAATGTTTCGCCGAGCTCCAGAAGTGAATGCACGGAGAGTTTGTATTATTGAACGTGCAAACCATATTGCAGCAGGAGAAAATAAAATAAAATAAACCCGATGTGTTTTCACAAACATGAAAATAATGTTTTAATCCACAAGCATGTCTGGCTTTGCAGGACAAAATTGTCCGGCAGGATTTGTTTTAAGTTCAAGCAAACACTCTGGGCCAGTTTCTGAAAATGTTGGGTCTCATCAGCCGGCTCCGGACTTGTTTAATCCAATGCTGCTGGCTTGCCAGGTGTTATTGGCAAGAGCATTTCACCTAACGGGGGGGGGGGGGGGGTTCTCATACGGTCGGATTTATAAACGTCTATACAGAAGGCAACTTCTGCACCATGCACAAATGCTTGCACCGTATGGGGGGTTGTGGGTGGTGAATTGGCCAGGGCGGATGTGTGACGTTGTTACTCTAAAACTGTTAATGCACGACAACAACAACAAAATGACAGCAGTCCACTTCATCAAATACTGCTGCTGCTGCTTCTGCTGCTCATGCCCCGTCCGTCGTCTAAAGCCATTGGTGGTGGTGGTGGTGGCTTGGCTCTGTGCACTGTGCAGGCATGGGTTCCGACAATCTTATTCTATGGTACAGTGTAAATGTACAGTATATCGTGCGTAGCGGAGATTTTAAACGAGAGTTGATTTTTTGTTTTGGGAGAGGTGGCGGGCGGGGGAATTCTTTTTATATATACAGTACACGACCAGAAGAACTTATGAGCATGAATATCCAGTAATATGTTACACCAACTGGCTCTCGGTAGTTTGTGCAAGGACTGTCTACACTCTTAAAAGCAATAAACACATGCTGCACACAACACGGATACATTTGTGTGCGTGTCTGTTTCACTTTCCAAACGCGGCTTTGAAAGAGTTTTACAAGCGTCAGCTCCGGTCGGTCCGTAATGGGGTGGGAGATGTTAACTACCTCGCTGGGTATGCAGGAGGTTATGGGTTCGATCCCGACCCTGTATATTTGGAGTTGGCACGTTCCCTCCGTGGTCGCGTGGACTTTTCTCCGAGTCCTCCGGTTTTTCCTTCAACATTTAGAAACGTGCGTTTAAGACTATTTGGCTGCCATAAATTCCCACGTGATGAGCCACTTCGTTGAGCAATCATTTGTGGCCGGGTCGCTTCTAAATAAAAAAAGAGCTGTAGAGCTCAGTGGACCTTAACCTAAAAGTGTTTTTAAGTTTAACTCCTCGTGGAGATGACGCAAGAGCCGAGCTTTTGCAAACACTCGGAGTTGCCGGTTCGTGCGACAATTTTGTCAAATTGTTATTCGGGATTCTCAACGTAATAAACTAAAAAAAAAATGGCAAATGTGCCCATGACGTGACAACTTGACTCGATTGGCTCTGTCGTGTGGCGTAGGGTTATAGCAAAACATCGGCATTACACCTACATCTGACCCAAAAATAAACGATACCGTCATATTGGTTGTGAAAGTTTACGTGTAAAACCCGATACGAAGACAACTTTAGTATGGGGTTGGTGTTGGTCATAGGTCTCTCAGCCCAGTTGAAAATCGGATAAATTGAGTGCCAAAATGTTGTGAGACGTCGGCGCTAAAAGGAAAACCGCGTGTGTGGCTCTGCCGGCTGAGATGTCCTCACCCACCCAGGCAAGGGCCCACGATCCAAGCCTCGGCTCATTGCGACCGACGGGAGTGATAACGCTCGTAACGACGATTCAGCCATGAACGAAACCTTACTATAAATCTGCGTGGCTATTACGGACTTCCCGATCGAGAACTGGCCACACACACTTCGTAGGGTTGGGGAAAAAAAAAACTTCGTAAGACCCAAAAGCTGCACTTACAAATATCAATATTAATGTTGCCCCTCATAGCTCTACCCACGTGTTGACTTTCACACTGCCAGTGGAGCATATTAAAGGACAAACGCAGGTTGGAAAAGCACCGCGTAATCCGCACACTTGCAATTTTTCTGTTTTATTTGCGTCCACATTTGAGGCCGGTCAGTCGGTGGCTTTTGAGTGCAACTTTCCATTGAAGGAACATCTCTTCGACTCGACATTTTACCGACACTGAGCTCGGTTACCCCCCCCCCCCCACCGTTAGGATTGCGTCTTCGGTCCGCAACATTGCACGCGTTCTAAATTGCATTGATACCATTCATTTGCTCCACGTTTCAATCCGTCAGATGGCAGCGACAGTTGATGCAACGTGAAGCAGTCACTGTCTTTCTTGCGTGTGGCAATGTTCTCGCAATTATAGTGATCTGCGGCCCCTTGTTCTTCGACTGCTGGATAAACGCCTCCTAACCCCATGTCAGTTGCATGTTTGATGACAGGGAAATGGGGTCCCGAAGTAATTGAACATCACTCGCCACTGATGTCAGGCATGGTCAGGAATCAAACTTAAAACCACCAGGTTCATAGTGCAGTGCACTAACCTATGCACCATCGCTCCTTTAGATCCCAAGTTTAGAAGGAATTGATGTGGGTGATCGGCAGAGCGGACAGCATTGGTTAAAAAAAAATAGTCATCACCGGCCGTTACAAGCTTAATGGGCGCTGGTGGATCAAAAAATCCGCACTTGGAGTTAAAGGATAGCAAGCAAAATTGTGGCAACGGTGCTGATGTTGCAGGGTCCGCTCACTCGAGCAGGGTTGCCGCCTTTTCCACCGAAAGACGTAAATGGGGAACACATTTCTCAACCAGCCTGGGTCCTCTCGAAACCGTGTAGTGCACTTCATTAAGTTCAACTCAATCACACCACCAATGATCTAGGTACCGGACAAATCAATTCCGTGCCATCCGAACACGTGCTCAATTCCCGAACCGTACCGGGTCAAAAAATCCAGATGGGTGGCAGCCTTACAACTAACTACTACGGAGGGGGTGTGTAATCATTGCACCGGTTCACAGTGGGTCAGGCAGTTTGTCACGGACCTCACATCCAAATGGACCCAAAAAATATGGTCGGGGGGGGGGGCTCAGAGGGGGCTTCATCTGGCATTTTACCCCCAGGCCTAAATAAAAAACCTTCCGGCGGCACTATCTCCGCCTTCCTGTAAGGGGCGTGAGTCTACAAATCCCCGTGTATTTTGATATTAACTGCAGTTACCCGTGACACGAGTGGACGGCGCCACCTAGTGACAATAGTGATATCTGTCTAACACGGAAGCGTTGGCGACTAATGTTATAATATTCATAATTGGTTTTGGCGGGGGGGTGTCAGATTATGAATTTGCCGTGTCGGCTGAAGGAGGGTCTATGACACACATTTTATTTACGCGATGTGACCCAAAAAGTCAATTGTGAACATATACATGCATGCACTAATTGTGTTGCCATGAAGCATGAAGGGTACGAGAAAATTATTTTGCTACCACGTATGAACAAAAATATTTTATCCCATCAGCCTATTGCTTCCAGCCCAATATTATCCAGCAGCATTTGTTTAAGCAAACGAATTCTGGATCGGTTTGAGCCTTCCGGGTCTCACCTGCAGAATTAGGCCAACTGCAAAAAGAGCTTTATAGCTCATCGGGTTCCTCCAGTATAAATAAATATGATCGTTCTGACCTAAATAGACGGCGCTCGAGAAGTCTGATGAAAAGGAAGGCGGCTTATGTGGGACATAACACAAGAGGGTCACAGCTGGAGATGCGATTAAGGTGATTCTTCAAAGAGTAAATGGAAGGGAAGTAGGAGATGGAGATGGATCAGCTGCTGGCACGATGTGAGAAGATGGATGGGACTCACCGTGCGAGATGCCGAAGTTTGTGAAAGATGGAAAGCATCTGTGATGGGCATCGAATCTGTAAGTATGCATGTTGAGCTTCTTCCGCAACGTACTTAGCCAAACCACGCTAATCGTAGGTGCGGGGGAAGGAAAACAAATTAGTTCTAAAGAAATTAGTTTTCAATTTCGATTGAAAAGTACACAGCTCCCAGTGGCTTCCACATACCGGAAGAGCGTTCCAGACGGTGACCAGTGCGTGGATGTGAAGTGCTGTGCCAATGACCGGCTCGAATATCACGCAAATCTGTTGTTAGCCGTGGCAGGGAATCAAACTCAGGTGGTTGGGTTCATAGCGCAGCGCTTTTTCCGCTGCTCGCTCACCCGCTCTAGATCCAATCAAAAACAAATGCAGTTGCGGGGGACAGGTTAGTGGAAGTTATGCAATTTATTTTTTTAATTCATTTGATTTTTGCCACGGATGGGTTCCGTTTAGCCAGTTACCCGGCTGTTTGAAAAGGGAGATTTCGTGGTGCTGCGTGAGCAGAGAAACCACAAAACAAAGGCAAAGCATTTAACACTGCAGTGCGAAACCAACACACGTGGCATTTCACGGTCGTAAACGAAACACGTGCGACTCGAAAAAATAATTTAATTGAAACATGATTAAAATTTGAGCTTCATCCATCGAATGAATTCAGAAAAGTATTGATTTAATGTGAGTTTCAAGTGAGCAATCGATACAAATCTATCCACATGAACACAGTTTAACCGTAGGCTTTCGCGACCAATATCATCCATAATACAGGTTTTGTTGGGGGGTGAGATCGTCTCTACTTAAGAAACGAAACTGGAGAACTTCTCAACAAATCTGGCTGTCGCATGATGAAGCTAGTTGTAATTACTGGCGAAACGTCGTACTCAGATTGTAAATGTTATGGCTTGGCTCTCCAACACATCGGTGTGCTGTACTAGTAACGCATTGGCACGTTCTGTTTACGTGACAAACCTTATGCTGTGTCGGGTGGTGGCGGGTTTAACGACACATTTTTATATTTACGCGATATAACCCCCCAAAAAACCTCTTATGGATACGTGAACACAGTTGTACACGGGTCGTAGCCAACGGCCCGCTCGTATCGTACCTCCGATGAGCACGGTTGGCTACGTGCCGTGCGAAAGAGGTCCAACGTACACAGGCCCTGGAGGCAGGCAACGATAACGGCTCTCACCGCCCTCTGCCGATGGCCTGTGTGTGTGACAGCTCGAGTTGCACACTTGCCCCTTCCAACCCCTGAAGATTTAAGTCATTTCTGATGCCGCTGCCACTCGGTGATGATATTGGAGTTGGCTGTTACAACAACAAATTAAGTAAACGATATTATTACTACTACGTCTTCCACAAAAGTACAAGGGTCTGTCTGCTCCACCACGTGGAAAAACAGTTTATAAAATCGGCAGCATTTGGGCCACTTTTGTAGTTAGGGCCTCATTTACCAGTGAATACATTTCCGAATCGCTGCAATATTGAAGGTGGCATGCCACTAGAAGCCACGGCCATAGCGAGAGGCATACTGGATGCGGTGTGCCGGGTGGATGTGGTATACTGGATGTGGTGTGTCGGGTGTGGAAATATGTTTTGGGGTTACTTACCCAGAAAAGAACTGAACTGAAACAAAGCCCCGCTTGTAATATCAGGTAGCCCAGCAGCATTGGTTATAAAGCAGGCCACGCTCTGCTGATGAGACTCAAAAAGTAGAAACGGGTCTAGAGTTTAAATTTTGATTTAAAGCTTTCGTGACTGCAGTAATTCATATTCTTAGCTCTTTCAGTAAAGTCACGTTGAAGGGAAACAATAAAATAATAAAATATATTGTTTTTTTATATTTTATTGTTTCCCTTCAACGTGACTTTACCGAAAGAGCTAAGAATATGGGTCTAGAGTTTGTCTGCTTTAACTGTCTAGCAGGCCCAGCCTGGGCTGTTGCGACTCAAATCTTATTTTTTGATTTAAAGCTTTCGTGACTGCAGGGATTCATATTCTTGGTTCTTTCGGTAAAGTCATGTAGAAGGGAAACAATAAAATAATACAAATATAAAACAATACAATTCTC